GCGCGGATAATGTTGGAGGGCTTGACGGTCTACATTAGAGGCGGCAGGAGGTAGCTTGTAGCGTAGCTGCCAACAATTTAGCTCGGCGTGTCGCAAAGGTACGGCTCAGCAAATGAGAAGGCACGCTGACTGTGGCTGGTGGTCTGTGCGCCTCGCTCCAGCCACCATTTCTCTACTTTGTTGCGGTTGCAATGCAACCGGCAATCTTTCATTGCCAGGTTCACAAACATCAACAAACCAGCAGCCAAGGGAGCAACCAGCTCAACACCGGCTTCGGCCCACTCGTACAGTTACTAACCAACAGGATACTAGAGAAATAAACGTTGTCCGGTTTTGAATTTAGCATTTTTCTCTTCGCAGGACATTGAGGGTGAGCATACACTGGGATCATGCCCGATGGAAACAAGCTCACAGAAAGCAGTAGGCACATCGCCAAGCAAGAATGGCAACGACAACTCCAGTAAGGACACGGACCGTGCAAGATCCCTCCATCACCGACAGCCCTGGAACATGGCGACATCCGCGCCTTGACGAGATCACTCGCCGCCGGAACGCGTCCACGTTTTCCGACAAGAACATTAGACAGATTGCATTCAGTGCAGGGGGCATTGTCGCAATTTGGCTGCTCCAAGCATTCTCGAAACTCAAGCTTTGCCAGAATTTGTACGCGCGATCTAAACCTAGCACTTACAAGTATCTCTGTGGATTGGTGTGCTAACTCACGGGAATAGGATGCCAGTAGCTTTCCAAACGTATCTAGACTGGGCATGGCTTCTCCTCCAGCTGATCCCGTTCACCAACATCATCCTCGCCTGTTTACCATTAGTCCGAAAGGAGGACGACCTATCGGATATTGCCTTGACACCGGCACAAAGAGAGCTTCTGGGCCTGCCCCCGTCCTCTGCGGCCCCAACCCCAGATGCGAAATTCAGCACCCCTCCACGATACTCAAGAACGCCCTCGATTGCAGGATCGGTGGGGAGCCGAGGCAGCTTCAACAGCTCCCCTCTTTCCGGGAGAGGGAGTCCTGCGTTTCAAGGAGGATCAGGCTCACCGTACAGTCCTATCGGAAGCCCATTATTCAAGAAGGGTCTTGATACCTCAGTCAATGGCAGGAGGTCATCCTTCGGTAGTGCAAGCCCGTTTGGAGCTAATGCCTCCGCCAACCTGTTTTCAGACCCCGGCTCGCCCAGCCCAAGCGGTGGCAAGCGGACGAGTGTGGGATTGAACAATAAATGGCTGTACGAAAAGGGCCGAAAGCCGTCCGTATCGCGCCTACACTAGATGAAGATTTAGGTGCTGAGTTTTGCCTGGGTTGTATTCAGCAAATGCCAGAAAGACGGCCCTGTGACTCTGCCTTTTGCTGGATGGGAGCGTTTCTTTGAACTGGAGTTTGGAGTAGCCAAAAAGGGAGTATTCTACTTCCTCACGAACATACAAGTAATATGGAAGATGACGATTTAGCATGTATCCTTTCAATCTTTGCTATAATGGCGGGAACAGGTACTCAGGAGGTCTTGCAAGGGAAGTGGCGTGCACCCAATGTATGCACATCCATGGTCAGATGATGAATCCCCTAACCGGTCAACAGATGTATTGATAGATGTGCAGATACTGTATAAAAAAAGCAAGTACTTAATGAGCCAACCGTTCGTTCCTATTGGATAGTCAACTCGATGCGGCCGCGTTTTGGGCCGTTGGATTGTATCATAGGTTCTCCAGCGGGTAGCACACAGCGCGAAGGTGCATCGTGTCGCCGTAGATCTACTCGCCGCTCGATCCAAAGTACTAAATTTATTAATAGAACTCCATGCTGGGTATCAAGTTGAATGAAATAGGTGAGTGAACACCCTAGGTTCGGCGTCAAGCAGCATGCGCCAATAGGCTCATTGGTCACGATGAGACCGACAGCATCTGCTCAAAACTCATAAATGATCTTGCAGTGTGCCCTGAACAGACAGAGTCTAAATCTGCAGGCAAATATATATGGAAGAGTAGGCTGTGCTCGCCATGTCGGTGATATATATCAACCTTGTGCAGGTGTGAGTGAGGGTGAGGGGAATCGGGTGAGACTGTTGGATTAAGCGCCCGCCCCCAAAGCTCACGAGTTTAGTCCCTCTGCTCATATTTTCTATAACCTGCGCCCTGTGTCTGATGCTTGCACTATTAAGCGCCCGCTGAGCATCCAGCCTGTGATTGGGCGCTCGTGCATTGTTTCGGAGTCTGGCTACGTATCAGACTGTAAAGTGTCCAGCTGGCGCCCGAACCCTTGCATCGGATTTCATCATATGTATGGAAACAGAGTGTGACACGGCATGCAGGCACACTGCACCCACACTGCGTCGGAAGCGCTATGAAGCCTCTCGGTTTCATGCTTCGACGGCTGGTTGCCTGACACGCGACCAGAGGCCGAACCGGTAGGTTAATGCCCTGCCGCCCATCTGCTTATGGCTTGATTATTGACCTCTCACTGGGCAGGCCGCCCTTGGCACACCCCCTTCTCCCTCACCTTTCTCATGCCGGGATGGAGGTGTGGATATGTGAATGACTGGATGGACGGGATACCTCTGCTTCGCCTTCTTCCCTAGCCTTACGAGACCAACTGTCTTAATTCGTTCACTTCTTTCCCTTCACATCATGTTACTGATGTTTTTTTGCTTCTTCTCCTTCTAATTCTCCTTGCTTTTTCTCTTTCTGGTCATTTCCCATTCGATAGTAGGTATCTGGCATACTTTATTTCTTCTACCTGTTCGTCTCGTTTCACTTCCGATTCCAGCCCTCCGAGCGAGCCTCTGATGGCCCTTCCATAGCTGGTCTATGTTCTTTGAGATTGTGTCTGGCCCAACATGATCACTGTTCGTTTAAATGTGTCGGTAGCAGGTGTTATTCTTCTTATTCTTCTGTTGCTTCGTCCTGCAGCCTCTCTTCAAGTCACCGCTGGCTCTCCATGTGCCTCGAGCTGTGTTGGCGCACCTCATCTAAGCCCAAGCTCTTCATATGGCCTCGCCTGCAAGGACCAGGATTTCCTTAGCAAGTACAATGGCCAGCTATTCCAGTCCTGCCTCACCTGCCTGCAAGAGAGTTCCTTCTCCAAGGGTGACGAAACTGACCAGCAGTGGTTTCTTTGTAAGTGGCATGCCGTCTATTCAACTTATGATATACGAGCTCACCGGATACCTAGACCACCTTCGATATCTTTTCGATTCCTGCCTTTTTGATCATCTCGATGACCAAGGGGAAACTCTGGGTTCTTGCATGGAGGATGGTCCCTGCGATGGACTTGATGTTGTCTTGAAATCGGGCACCAATGACCCAACGAGCAAAAGCCCAGATGGCTACTGTGCTGTGGACGGATCTACTGACCTTTCACATTCGGTTGAGACCTGCCTTCGGTGTATCCAGTCGAGCGACTCGCACAAGTACCTCTCAAACTGTAAGTTCGTCCCATCCCGCTGCAGTCTTGTTCCCCTAGCTCACACAAATCTGCAAATAGTTCTCGTCGCTATCAAGACTGGCTGTGAGAACCAGCCTTCTCCCGGGAGCCTTCTCGGTCTCAGTGGCAGCGTCTTCAGTGAAACACTTATCCAGGATGCCAGCCAATCTGATGAAGGCAAACTCAAGCCCGCTGCCATTGCCGGCATCGTCATCGGAATAGTAGCTTTCCTCCTCCTGGTTTCCGGCTGCGTCTTCTTCTTCATGCGCAGGCGCCAGAGATCACCACCCCCCAGCCGGTCATCACTCCTTTCCTTCCGTTGCCAGACCCGCGTCACTCCACGCACCCCACGGTTCCCCCGCGAGCTCGCCACCACGCAGAGGAGGGAAATGGTCGAGCATCAGAGGGAATACATCGACCCTGGAGCCGCTCTCAACTCGAACCCCGTCACCGCCCAGTGGTACGCCCCCTCCAACTGGTACACGACCCCGAGCCACACTCCCACCTCGAGCACGACAGCCCTGGTCTCGCCGCCCCCGACGACCCATTTCGCCTCCAGCCTCACACGCTCCCCCGAGCAGGAGCCTCACTCCCGGTCCGGCTCCTCCTCCATCTCCTCCATCTCCGTCTCCTCCACGGCCCCTCTCATCCACCCCAGGACAGACTCGACCGAGCCCCCCGAGTACTCGAGCATGGATGGCCGCCCACCTGCCGGCTTCATCCCAGGGCTCGCCATCTCAACCCCCGGGGACACTGCCCTGTACACCGGACAAAAGGTCGTCCAGAAGTCCCTCTACAGCAGTCAGAGGGGCTACTCCTACCAGCCTTGGGGCCCGCGCCGCGGATGGTCCAGAGATGTAGCCACCCCGGCGGGGACCCAGCCTGCCGGCGACGACTTGGACGAGGAGAAATCCAGCCCAGTCGTCCTGCCCTCCGAGTTCAGCCCCTTCCAGGTCTCGCAGCCCCCGCCGCCAGCTTGGCGACCTTGAGTTAGAATAGAAATACATCAGGAGCATGGGTCTGGATTGTCTGGGAACCCGTGTAATAGAATAGGCATTGTTTGTAATTCGAGTTAATGATACCACATTTCAAAGGCTTCACGACATGATTCACCGTTTCGAAAAGTGCGTAGATTAGACCATTGTACACGTTGACCGTGTTTCATATTGTTCTATCCACATCTCTTTCGTGTAAATTCCTTATCCATGCTTATGCTACTCCATGCTGAAACAGAAGAAAAACCAGGCCCGATCCTATAGTGACATACAAAAATCGCTTGAAGAGCAAGGAACCGAAAAACAAGTTATCCCAACTGGCCAAAACAAACCCTGTCAAGAGATGGGGCTGGGCAAGGGTATCTTTTTGTTGTTGTACCGATTTCTGCTACCACAAAATCCAGTGACATTAGGGCCTAGTAAGAAACCCAAGGATGATGAGGCAGGACTTCGTTGTATGTATCTCCTTCTAGCTCCGTCTTTGAACCTCCTCCGTATTATAATACGTCTCCATTCTGACGTCTACCTCCCGTTCTGGGAAATTCGAGCGCGTTGTGCTAAAAAAATTCGATTTAAAACCTTTCCTGCCATGGTGTCGTCCCTCTGCTGTTGATTTCGCTTTGGAGTTGCTCGCTTAAATCGTCCCCCATCATATCATCAAGCATAGCTTTGAGCTCCTGGTGCTGGCTTCTGACCTTGCTTGCGATATCGACAAGATCACTCACAGTCCGCTTATGGGGCCGCGATTGCTCACTACCTTGTACTGAAAGCTCGCCGTCGTCATTGAATGATCTTTTTCTCTTAATGTGGCTAATCTCATGATCGGCCTGAGGAGTTGTCGGGGTGAGGTGGCCAGACGCCTGGCTTGCAGAAGTCTGGTCATTGTGATTTGGCGTGCTGTATGATGAAGCTCTGGGCCGTGAAATAGAAGAAGCGTGGGCCCTTGACACATTGAATGCTGACTGGTTGTAGGATGATGCCCGAGCTCCTGTCCAGAATCTCTTGCCGCTAGCCAAGACCTCATCGGCAATCGACTCGGGCAAGACAGAGCCATCGGGCATCTGGACGAATCCCATGGCTTTAAGTCGCCACCGCTCAGAAACCCTACTAACATGTTTGGGCGGTGTTGGGCTTGTGCTGCTCCTAACTGAGGAGCTGGGCAGCGAGCGGCGGAACCCAGCAGGTTGGATACCCAGTAGTTGTTCACGAAGGGCCCTGGTCTTTGCCCCTTCTTTAACCCCAACTTTCGATGGCGATGGTCTTGCTGGTTTTTCGAAAACAACATCCGATCCAGGGCTGTCGGGTCGCACAATTCTTGCCGCTGCTTCCCGTTCGTTTTTCACTCCCGAGAGGACCCCGGAAGATAACAGGTTTTCCTCTTCACGAGCTCTGCTAACGCGACGCCTCTTGGCCACGCTCAGCAGTTTGGCGGCATGATCAACATCAGGTTTACGAGCCAACTCCTTCTTGTCCTTGATTGTTTTCCGCTCCTCCTCCAACTTTGCCTCTCTCTCGGCTTCTTTCTGAGCCTCCCAATACTCCCGCATCTGTTCCCGTCCGCTCCGAAGAAGGAAGCGTTGTCTCTTGCTGCGAGCGTTTCTCTTCCATCTGTAGAAGAACTTTAGCCGCAGGTTGTAGATCCGCCAGCGATCCGCCTCGGCGTTTGCGGCTTCCTCCTCTTCTCGTTGTTTCTGTTCCTCTGTCTCTTTGGTAAACGTATCAAACACCTCCCTCACAAGATCCTCGACAACGAAGGTCTGGAATTCTTCGAAAAGGCCTGTATCACCCAACACATACCATTTGGTGAAATTTCCCATCAAGTCCCTTGGGGGCGGTGGAGGGGAAGCAGGCTTCAAAGGAGGGGCGCTCTGTTGTGGCACAGATGTAGTTCCTAGCAGCGATTTGAATGCGTCTGACGAGCCGGAGAAGGCAGTGCCAGCGTCAATAGCTGGTCCAGGCACGCCTGTTGTCCCAGGTTTCGCCGCCGACAGGGAAGGAAATAGATCTCCCTTCTGACTGGAAATTTCAGGTTTCTGCTCCGAGATGGTAGATAAGGGTTTCTGGCCAGCATCATCCGTAGGTTTGAAAGTAAGGCCAGAAGATTTCAGAAGAGGTGATGATGGCTTTTGGCCAAGTGATGGCGGAAACAAACCGTTTGCAGGAACTAATGGTGCTGGCGTGGATTGAATCGAGGTACCTGAGGCTAGTTGCCCACTAGATAGTGTACTCGGTACAGATCCTAGGACTGAGGCAGGTGACCCTGCTTTCACCTCTGTCAACGGGGTGGCGGTACTTATTGGCGCGAGTGGATTTTGAAATGATGGCGATGGGAACTTTGGTGGTGCTGTATTGGCAGGAGGCTGTGCCTGTACGGCATTGGCAAATGGATTGGGTGCCGGTGTTCCAGACACTGCTGCAGGTTGTGACACACCAGTCGCTACTGGATGGGTGCCTGCGATACCTGTGGGGGCTTGAGATGGTTGGAAAGCGCTGGCAAAGGGGTTGAATGATGGCTTCAAGTCTGAAGGCTTCGAAGGAGCCAGTACATTAGTTGCTGAAGGCTGTGTTTTGGGAAAGCTGAATCCTGGTGCTGGCTGAGATGGTGCTGGGAATCCTGCAAGCAGATTAGCAAAAACTGACGTGTGATATAGTTCAATTTCTCCAATAGTTGAATTTCTCGATTCAACAAACTACCAATATCACCCAGAAATCAAACGTATATAGTGCCGAACAAGTAGCATCTTTGAGGCCAGATTCTTACCTGTAAATCCAACCCCAGTGGACAAAGAGCTGGCGGCCTGTGCTGGTGCTTGGAAGATGGACGGGGCAGCCGGTGGTGGAACGCCATTGGAAATAGCAGGTTTGGTCGAACTGGTTGCGTTGATTGGTGGTTGAGAGCCAGCAAGGGCTGATTTAGTTCCAAGGCCATTTGCTACAGGAGCATGACCGCTGGGGAATATTGTATTATGGATGACGTTTGGAAGAGTGTGAGAGCCTCGCTTCTGCTCAACAAGTTTCTGAGAGTATTGATGCTGTAACCGAATATGAGGAACTTGCTGCCTGGGCCTGAGCAGAATCCGTCGCCGCCCGGCATCATTTGGAGCCTCTGGATCTGCTTCAAATTCCAGTCCATGGGCTTCCGCGAACTCGATCACCTCATCAATGGTATCGAATCGGAGAAAGCGGTTCAGAGCTTCGGCGTTGACGTCTTTCGTCTCGTCTTTGGGCCTAGCCAGCGCCCTTACAAGTGCGATGAGCATAGAGCGGCGAAGAGAAGCAAAATGACACTCGGCAAAACAAGCCATGGTATAAGAGACCGCCTGGTCCTCTACTATCCGGAAATAGGAATGCAGAGGACCACCTGCAGCCAGCGCGGGGGCGGGCTTTAGCGGGCCATGGAAATCTTTGGTGTTCTGCAGAGCTTCCACGAGCGAAACTGCTGTACGAACCTCGTCCGAGTTCTTCCAAAGGTGTGAGCTCCACTGCCTCTGTAAAACTTCCATGATATTTGGATCATGGGCGTGGAAAACAAGGTAGTAGGCTCGGAATTCTGGCTCATTCTCACATGCTATGCCCTGCTCGTTGCAGTCGTCGTACAGGTCACGGAGCGACAAGAGCGCCTTTCCAAGCTGCTCAAGCTCCTGTTGCTCAACAAAGTCTTCTGGCTTTTTGCCGGCCTGAGAGAGTAGATGAAGTGCTGTGACGTGAAATCGTGCGATGTTTTCCAGGACATATATTTGAGTTTTCAGCTCGTCAGGCGACAGGGACGAAAAGAAGGCAAAATCACGACGAATAGCTCTCGTGCGATCCCACAAGAATCCGTGAAGCCCAGGTAAGTTTTTGTCGTTTTTCAGGAGGTCATCGATCAGGTAGTCCAGGGTTCGCCGCAATGCAGGTACGGAACGTACATCCATTGGCAACGGTGCCTCTTGGCCAGCAGCCGAGCGGGCCAATTTCTTGACCATTCTTTGGGTGGAAGCGACATTGTCCTTGGGGTCCTTCTCAGGGCCAACCACATCAAGCTCAGTGATGCGTTGGATCTTTTCGTATTCAGGACACATGTCTTCGCAAATGCCGCGAAAGACGATGGCATCTTCCAGAGTTCTCCGCTTCGTCGGGTCGTCGATTAAATCAGCCTTGGTTAATGACGCGCGTACTTTCGTGCGATAGCCCTCGTACCGCTCTCTAAACTTGGCCATGGCAGACTTATTTCGAGGATCGCCCGGGCGCGATGGCCAGTTTGGTGGACTGATACCATCGTTGTGCAGTTGGATGTACACTTTCTTCGCATGCGGATCGGATGTGTTTGGGGCCTTTGGTGGCTCGGTGGCACCGTCAATCTCGTTGGACGCCTGGCTGGAGGAGGAGCTCGGCCGGGATCCGTCAGTAGCATTGCCTGCGACAGAGCCGTTCTCAAGCCGGGGCTTTCGAGTTTGAAGCTTTTTTGCGCCGGGGTTGCCATTGGACAGGAAACTGTTGGGCGCAGATTTCTGGTTGCCATCGCGGCGCTTTCGCTTGCTGGTGTCGCTGTCGCTCACCGCGGCATCTTTGTCACGAGATTGCTTGCCGCCTTTGCGCTTCGATCCATGATTGTCCCTCTGCTCTGTTAGCGCCCCCTTTCGCTTGCTGTTCTGCTTTTCTCGTGCTGAGTCGCCTGCACCACCAAAACCAAATGGGTTGAGTTCGTTTTTGCCAGGCTTCGCCGAAGCAGCAGCAAAGGGATTGGTAACTGCCGGCTGGCTCTGCGCCGACTGGGAGAAAGGGTTGCTGATCATTTGGCCGATGATGCAACAGACGTCGCACTCATCCAAGAGATCGTTTGTACATTAGGAGAAGGAAATACGTGTTCTAGTGATTCGGTCGTGTTCGAAGAGCGGCGGAGGATTGGTGAGGACGCGAAGTAAAAAGTGAAGTTGTTGAATGGAATCACGTTTCACCGGCATTCAAGAAGCTAGCTCATTGTTGCTCCATCCAGCAATAGCTTGAACGGATCCCAACCCCCGGTGGGTCTGCCTTCAACCATAGTCCTTGTGCATCACGTGATGATCCAGCCACCCCCAAATAGATTCACCACGGTTCTCATCAGTCATTACTCTCAGCATCCTTGGCCTTCATGCGTCTAAATGTGAGTGTCAAGTGGGGCACATTTATTTCATATCTTATTGTCATTCATTCATTCAATATTTTTTATCCTATTTTGTATTTGCCATCTCACCCGCGGCCACGAATCCGGGCAGGTCCTAATCCTGATCGAATCTCTTCGAGCTGTTCTAACCCTGTTTGTGCCTTGGTCTTTTTAGACGTCCGCTTTCCGGGCTTCGTAAAGTTCCCTAAGAAGTCGTCCATGATCCCATCAAAATCCCCACGGACAGGCCCTGTGACACTGGAAGCCGTCGATACAGCAGACATTGAGGCCATGTCATCCATGTCCTCGTTATATTGTTCCTCAATCTTGTCGAATCTTGAGTCCAGTAGAGTCAGTTGGTCGGTGCGTACGAGCGAGGAGGAAGTCATTGAATAGCTTGAGTTGTCCGTCAAGGCACCTTTCCGCTTCTTGCGACGGCCGCCGTTTGTCGTGGTTGTCCATTGAGATTGCAATTCAGAGGGGGCAGCTGGGGCTCGCCCACTCTTCTGCTCCTTCTTGAACTGCTTGAAGTTTTCCATCCAGTCCTGAGAAGGTCCCTGCTCGGGCTGTGCCTCGACCTTGACGAGATTTGGCACCTCGTCCTTGAACTCCTTAGTTGGTTTTGCTGTGTCGTCGGATTCCCATCCCTCATCGTCATCTTCATAATTCCCATTGTGTTGTGAGTCATCGAACTCGTAATCGTCCAATTCCTTCCCGTCGCTGGTCAGCGCCTTGAATATATCATCGTCGTCCTCGACGTAAGCATCATCCTCCAGTGCTTCAAGCGCCTCTCGCAAACGGGGATCCATGTCAGGTTGGAACCCAGCAATAGAATCCGGAACACTCTGCTGGGCCTGATATGTTAACCTCGTGAGGTTTTTAGAGGGCAACAGCTCATCGTCCAAATCGACCCCAGACTTGCCATCCAGACTCATGTCTCTAAGCGCCTCATCTAACGATTGCTTTTGCTTCTTCTTGCCCTTGTTTCCCGTCGCGTCGGCCTCAACAAAGACGACCTGTCCTCCCGATCCAGAGTTGAGATCTCTCAAGTGTTGCATGTAGTCATATTCTGTGTCGTCGAAGTACACGCCATAGCTGGCGGCTTCACCTTCGTTGTCGCGAATGTGCTGCGCATCTGAACCCAGCTCGGAAGCGAGATCATCGAGATGTTTGATTTGCGATGCGCCAGTTTTCTTCTGAGACGAGGTTTGCGTAGGGTTCAACACCATAGAGGGCGCATCTTCATCGTGGATAAGAGGATCATTTTGCGGCCGGTGTACCAGCGTAAAATGCTGCGCCGTCTTCTTGTCGCTACGATTCAGAGTTAGCAAATGTTAATTTGGAGGGGCTTGTTTACAATATGGCACTCGTTCTTACATCCACTTTCCTCGAGCCATCTTGGTGAATGTATGGTGTCACCTCGAGTGAAGCCGGTCTGGTTGGGTATTTCTAATCGTTGGTTGGAATTTGGCAGATCAACCATCAAGGCAGCACATGAAAAAAAAGTTGGCGGGGCTCAACCCACCCAAAATTCATGGCGGGGCTCGATCAGGCATCGATAAGCCTATCGGCAATTGGTCTAACGTGCCTCCCACCTCCTCAACTCCTGGTGTACTCCAGTAGATTATCTTCATGTTTCTAATTATCGACACCAGACCTATTAGAATTTTTTAAAATGATTCTTCTACAATCTCACAATGCTCGTAGTGATTGCTTCCATGTTAGGCCAGCATGCCACCGGCTTCTCCTTCCTTCTCTCGTATGAGTGCCTGCCTTCCTTCCCACTCTTACACATATAAATCCTCCACCAACATGTGAACGCTCTTCGTGAACGAACTTCGCTTTTCTTCACCACAACTTCCAACTGATTTTCTTTCATCTCTCCCTCCCATTTAATCCCTCCCTCTCTTTGCTAAGAACTTTCACCAACCAAGCATTTCCCCTCCACATTGAACCGTCCAACTTTGGTGCTCGTGAGAGAACAAAAATATACCCACCTCTCCTCCAAAATGGACTTGGCATCATTGAGCTATGTGTCGGGCGAAAGAAAGAGGAAATCCGAGTCAGATGATGAGCTTATCATAACCAACAAAAGATTGTTCAAGAAAAGATCGAAGAACAGACTACCCGAGGTAGATCCATCAGAACTCTGCAATCTGGTAGGAGACTCGTCACTAGAAATGCCCGATTTCAGTGATTTCGGAGCGAATGGTTTGGATCCTACTCGATTCGCTTGGGCACCTAAAGCAGACATTGCAGCAATACAAACCTCTCGCCGAGAGGAAACCCCCAGAGTTCCCAGAAAAGCTGCTCCTCCATCCATTCCTGACCCATCTGATGCGGATTGGAATAAGAACGACAAATCGTTCTATAACTCTCGCTCGAGGCCTCAAAAGAGACCTCCAAAGTCAAGCTTCTTCGTCCTTCCAGGAGATGATGACATCCAGCTCGAGAACGATAATTGTGTAACAGAAGCCTTTCCAGAACGTATTCATCGAGTTTTTCCGATTCCTCTCGAGATACGAGAAATGATTTACAGATATCTTGTGCGGTCCAATAAGCCAATCGCAGTTTTTGACGGCTGGAAAAGGGTTTACAAGCATGGGAACACTCGGCAAACAGGGCCGGCTTTCACCGACAGGCCGTCGCTAGTAATCAACGTTCTAATTCTGAACAGGTGGATTTATCCAGAAGCGGCACGAATCCTATACAGTGAAAACACTTTTCTCTATCGCCTTCGTGATCCCCCGACCATTTGCCCACCCCCCGTCAACCTCGACGCGCTGGTAGCTTTTGATTCTTCTTCTTCCGTTACTGGGAGCCTGGAGGGCGACGATCCCAATGACGGGGATTATCAGGAGCATAACCCCCAAAACAGCACACGGCGAGCAAGATCAAGGAGAAAGAAAAAGGAGCTCGATGAGCCGTGCATCAATGTTGGCAAATTCCACCATCTCTTTCGACATATTATCATCGAGGCTGAACACAACCGGTATGGTGACGATACATTGAGGAGCATGCGGGAGGCCCTCGAGATCTTAAGCAACCCTCCTCCTGTCGACAAGGATTCACTCCCCTTGTATCCAAGCATCGCAGCTTCTAAACTCTCGAAAAAGAAACAGAAAAGTGGGCGAAAAGCGAAGCATGGGGTTAGACGAGAAGAACCTCGCCCTCCCACGGTTATCACGCCTAACATCATGACTCTGGTAATCAAAATTCGGCCCAGTCGACTCCAGAATGGATTCACGTTCGTGAACTTTTTTGACAAGAAGTCTCCTATTCTCCAAGCCATCCAAAACCTGCTGCCTCAGAAGCTATATGTAAAAGCAATGATGGGCCAATTCACTAACCGAAGAAACGGTGTGAATTTTTCCATTAACTTTCGACATCAAAGGATCGTCGATCTGGTAGCCGCTGGAGAGCCGGATATGTGGGTTCGAGATAAAGAAATGGTCATACGGCGCAGACACAAAGCCGCGGAGAGTCTCAGGAAGCTTGAAGATCTAGGCGGTGATGTGGAAAAGTCCTGCAATAGGTACTACATTCAACATTCAGACCTCGTCGAAGAGAATGACGAGTTTGAGTTTTTCGATTGGGATGAGACAGAGGACGATGAGTTCGAATTTTCCCAACAAACATTCACTCAAGCTGAAGTCCAAGCCGTGCCTCCAGCTGAGGAGGCTCAGGAAGAAGTACAGCTCGAAGTTCAGGATGAATCAGTCCCGGTGCCTGGAAGTGGCTGGATTGAAGAGGTTGAGACTCAGGATGAAGTAGTTTCAGAGACTCAAGTTGAAGAGGCTCAAGAAGAAGAGGCTCAAGTTGAAGAAGCTCAAGTTGAAGAGGCTCAAGAAGAAGAGTCTCAAGAAGAAGAGTCTCAAGAAGAATTACAGCCTGAAGGTCAGGATGAACCAGTGCCAGCGCCCGGAAATGATTGGATTGAAGAAATTGAGGCCCAGGGCGGAGTAGTTACAGAAACTCAACCTGAACAGGCCCAGGAGGAATGATGGGGCTTTACAATCACGTTAGAGTTGAGTATTGGCTGGTAGACGGAAAAGTTTTTGAGAGGCAACCGATGGTCATGGGGGATTGCAAATCCTACATCGAGTAAAAGTACCTAGCTGTGGAAACGAGAAGCAGAGAGAGTGCATCGTTCATTTCAGAGATCAGATCTCTTTTTATTCGACCCTGAGTCCTCAACGCTGAAGGCTTGTTGATGCATTGACCAGCTACTACAAAGGCGCATCGGTTGAATGGAATTTAATGAATAGTGAGAGGCTAGAATCGGTGTTACAGATCGAAAAGTCAATAATAGGTTCTCGTGATCTCCTCAATTTGTGATATTGAGTGTCGACCCAGCCAGTATAAATGCATCTATCTAGGGTAGCTGGTTGATCTAAACCCCCACCTGGAGCTTGAAGCCAAGATCAAGGCCTGAGCTTTTGATCCGGGCGCTACCCCGCCAGTGGAAGGCAGCATTGGGTGTCACCTCTGAACCCGAAATAATCAGCATCGTCATTCCTTTTGTTCGCACCCTCCCAACCAGGACCCAGCCCACCATGGCCAGCAAAGTCGACCGAATTGTCGCCCGCTTGCAGGAGAAGATTTCTGATGGCGACTTCTACGAGGCCCAGCAGCAGACCCGTGTGGCGGCTTCCCGCTACATCAAGACCCAGAACTGGCCCGCCGCCATCGACATACTCTCCAATGTTGCACAATCGCTGCTGAAGGCTGGGCAGGGCGGCAGTGGAGGCGACCTGTGCATCATGATGGTGGACGTGTACAAACAGGCCGAGCTGAAGCCGGATGCTGCCGCCAAGGGCAGACTTCTGACTTGCCTTCGGTTGTTTGAAGCTGGAGAGCCGACGAGGAAGACATTTATCACAGAGTTGATGGCGTAAGGAATTCCTATTCAGCAAGAATAAAATCATTCTCGTGTATCTGGCTGACCTGTTGCCCTCTATACTAGTTGGTCATCGAAATTCGGCGAGTATCCTGCCGGTGATCCCGAGCTTCACCACGTTGCGGGTTCGTTGTTTGCCGAGGAGCACGACACATACGAGGCAGAGAAACACCTGATAATTGGGACGAGAGATTCGCCGGAAGTACTTGTCAAGATGGAATATGCATGGTACAAGGAAGGAGAGGTACATTTGGCTGCGCACTTCGCCGCCCGTGCCATTATTCCCTATCTCCTAGTGGGCAACGTCCGGGCCGCCAACACCTCCTACCGCCTCTTCACAAGCGCCCTGAGCGATGACAACGATAGCCTCGGCGTCCAGTCCGTCTCCAGCTCGGGCTCCGACATCCGTGTCTTTCCCAGCCTGCCCCTTCTCAACTTCCTTGGTCTCCTACTCCTGGCAATTCAAAGGGGAGCCCCGGAGGTGTTCAAGGGTCTTATCTCCAGGTACGCAACACAACTCTCAGAAACCGACGGCGCATGGTCGGAGTCTTTGGACCTCATTGGAGAGATGTACTTTGGCATCGTGAGGCCAAGGCAGAGCAACCCGTTGATGGACATGATGAGCGGTCTGTTTGGCGGAGGTGCTGGCGGCGCCCAACAGCCCCAGCGCAGGACCCTGCGAGGAAATGACGGCCCCGCGCCAGTTGGGTTAGATTAAACAAAGTACACTATATTAAAGAGCGGCCTGTGCGCTTCACCATAGAATAGGATATGAGGAAAAGTAAAATAAGGCAGGTAAGATGAGTTCTCAAAGCGTGCGAACTTGCTCCTCTGGCTCATACATCCAATTGTCTTCTGAGAGAGCGGCTACTTTAGCACGAAGACTTGCTCTCACGGCCTCGAGGAGTTCTGGGTTTTATTGATTAGAGAAATGTACGAACAAGTTTTCTAAATGGGACTTGGCCTACCTTCTGGTTGTTCAGCCATCGAGCTACTGTTGATTTGATGGTGCTTGACTGCGTCTGCTAGTCTTTGCCTTTCCTCTAGTAGTTAAATCAGTATCTGCGGTATCCGAGTTGACCCAGGCCCCATCGATACTCACGCTCCGTTTCCTGCTGGTCGTCTAGCGGCAACTCTTCATCATCCTCCAGATCGGGGGAGGGGGGCTCTCCGAATTCGATCTCTCCATGGCGATCGCGAACGACGATTTCTGAGCTGTCCGGGGCTGGCGCTTCAACCTCAATCCTCACTGTCTCAGAAGAGTGTGCAGACGGAGCTACAGGCCGCCGTGGCTTTGCATTCTGAGTCTGAAAGAGGTTACGACGAACCCCGGCGAGAGTGGCGCTGGGCCGGGGACGGGATGAGGTGCTTCCAGTGCTGCTGTTGAAGTTTGTCGTCGTTCCACGGCTGCGGTCAGCCATGGTGACGGTGAAAAAATTATTGAAATCTAAGTATGCGCGCGATATCGATTGATTTAATTGTAATTGGGGGCTTCTCTGGTAGGGACAGAAAGTAAAAAAAGAATTGATTGCTGGTCTGTTTTTGTTGATAGGTAAGAGTAGCCTGCACATTTGGAGGGGCAACCTGCTGCTCACCACCGAAACAAGCGTTGAGTGGTGGAGTGAGATCGGTGTTCGTCGCCTACCCAGGCAAGTTGTCCTTTCGACTTGCAAAGATCAAAGGAACACGGACGGCAACTCAGTCACTCAGTATGCAGAAAGACTAACAACTAAGTCAATGAAATGATGAAATAACAAATAAACTGGCTTAATAATATTCGAACACTGGAACCTCGGGAACTGTAGCGCATCTGACTGCTCCCCATCCTTCACAAGCCCCCAGAGAGCCAAACATATAATGTCTTGGTTTCATCCCATCACCGACTCGTGTTGCGTCGCAATATACTATACAAACTAATGCCCCCGATGAACATGCAAAAGGAAACTGTGGAAGACGCCGGTTACCCAACAACTGAGGCAATATCTGGTGATGTACTCTCTCAAGGAAGTTTCAGCTTTGAACCTACAGAGAGAGGTTGTAGGAGTACTCGTCCTCCATGTTCTGGCTTACCCAGAGGACAACGGAGCTTTTTGAACTAGTCAGTACGGGCAAAATCGCATTTGACGGCCTGTGCTTACCTGAGTCCGACGAGCGCATTGCTCACGACGTTCTCAATGCCCATGCTAAGGGCCGGCATCTGTACTCCCGGGACAACGAATTTGAGCACAAAGACGGTCACACCACCGGCCATCCCGCCAGCCAGCGCAGCGAAACCGAGGAAGAGAACGACCCGCGCCTTCCATGCGACGCCGGAGCCGCTGTAGCTGAACGAATCCGCGCTCAGGCGCTGCTTCTCGACCGAGTTGATGATCAGCATTCCCAAGCTGGAGAAGATGAGGGGAAGCCAGTCGACGAATTTGATGTGGACATCGGAGGCGTTCAACGTCGATCCTGACCAGACTGCCGAGTCCAGCATCACGTAGAAGGCTACAGCGAACTATGTCATGAGAGAATACAGGTCAGTTCGCATTCTAAAGTGAAGCGCAAAAGTCGCTAGCCTTCCTATTTCGCACCACGAATGTCTGGTGATAGAAGGAAGGCTTGTCACAAGAATCGGGCTTGGGAAACGTACGAGAGCTCCGGCGCTGTAGACGCCTGTGTTGCGAGCCCAGACGCTGTTCAGCCACTCGGGCTTGCTGAACTTCCAGAGACGATCCTCCTCCATTATGGGTCCTTTCGATTCTAGGGTTGTTGAGAGGTGGGTTAGGGCGTTGCGAACGATCGAAGGGCAGGGCAATAAGAACAGCGAGATAGGTGTCGAGAGCTTTGCGGTTGATGATGCCTGCCGCTGTGCTATGACGCCTCAGCCTAGGTCGGTTGAGCCTTGGCACGGCTGGTCCAAGTGCTTAGTCACGTGTCCATCACAGAGTGGGGAGTCTATGGCCTCTGATGCATCTGCAACCATTGACGATAATCGATGCCTTGCCAAACCTCGAAAGGACACTGAGAATCGCTGGGCCGCCCCAGCCTCCTTAAATTTTCATTGCCATGAATTTCTGTCAAATTAAATCGGGGAAGATGGGAGGTGCAACCAACACGTATCCCTTCTTAACTCCTAGGTCAATTGGATCACGCTCTCCGCGGCTTGCAGTGGCTCCCGGACGCTAATACTGGTGGTGGCAACGGCCGGATTGTCTCTGTAGCAACACATCACATGCAGCTATAGCGTCCAAAACAATGAGAATCGGGGATGGTAATACCACGCAAGCAGGATGACGAATCTACGGTTGTCTGGAGCACCTGTGTTTTTATTCGTGATTCGTGATTCGGGATGTGGGCAAGCGGGCGTCAGAATAACAGGGACTGCAATAGTGTTTCAATATCTCAGCTTTCCATAGGCCACAACATTGATAGATAGTAGTTTACAAGAACAATAAGCTATCGAGTAATTATTAGATAGCATTATCTATAACTACACAATATGAAGTATTGTTATGTGACTGTCGAGGTGACTTTGCGGTCCCTGTTTTTCTGACTGCAACTTGGCGGGATTACTTGCTCTCAAGATCATGTCCGACAGTCGACGCTGAGGTGGGACGGGTGCGAGGGAAGCTGGCAGCGGCCTTTTGGTGACGTTTCCTTGGTAGAACATTGATATTGCATTGCAGACATGAGTAACCGCAGGGAGAATACAAATATATCTGTCCCTCCTAGATCGATAATTCCCGTCTCCAACATTCACTAGTGAAACTCGCGTGCCTCAGTGCGCATCTCCACCGGCGTGATCCCTGATGACGACCGCCTACCACGAGGTAATGCGACAGCGCTGATATCTGCTCCTGCGCCAGGGCGCTAACTCCCAATCAGACGGCTTCTGCTCTTCAACGGTGGAGTGCGCTAAACGGCCTGGTTCGAGGGCATCCCCTAAGCCCACGCCGGTCTAACTCGTTTCGGAGATGCACGCTCCTCCTTTTCTCGTTCGTCCAGCTGTAGAGGTAATTTAGCGCTAAGCAGGGACTGGAAGGAGCCCCAGATGGGTCTGGTCTTTCTTTCTTGGGTCCCATTCCCTCCATCCCACACCAACGAACTACCACCCACCTGCTGAACCCTTCTCCTTCTTGTCTCTCCGCCCCATCCAAGACCACCATGCATTCATGGCTTCGCTAGCCTGATCGCCGCCACCAGCATTCTTTTCAGACATTGCTTTTTCTCTCATCATCATTGCTCGCTTATAGTCCTTCGTTGTTGACATACTTTCGCTCACCCTGAAACTCCAGTTGATTCGTCCCCAGGGCCATTCCTGGTCGTCGCCCGTCGCGCACCACGTCGCCCCCGAAACACAGCCACCATTCGTTTATTCATTTTTGCATTCCAGCACCTCGCAACCCTATGCGCTATATCGTCTACTTTCCGCATGTTTTGAGCACTTGATCACCCTCACCGTTTCCTCAGGTCCTCACGACCGTTTTCCGAGTCCACCTACGCGATTTTCGAGCACCTCTTCTATCATCGACCGACCGATCATGTCCGCCTTCGCCCCCTCCTCGAAGCGGTCGCTTCTCTATACGTCCCTATTATCGACAGCCCTCTTCGCCGTCAAGCCTGTTCTTGCTCAAGACAGCACAGACAAAACCTCGGCAACTGGGGACGACAAACAGACCTCAGCCCAGCAAACCTCCACTCAGCCAAGCTCGCAAGCTGCCAGTACTACGTCGGAATCTAAGGCCAGCACGACGGAAAAGGCATCCACCACGACCGAGGAGAAGAAAACAAGTACCGAGGAGGAGAAAAGCTCGACGACATCAAGTTCTTCTTCAAAGACGTCCACGACCTCGACAACTTCCTCGAAGACAACCTCAACCTCGACTTCTGAAGGCAATATCCGCATCACAGCGTCGCTCACAGGAAAGTACGGTGTTCCGACATATGCTCCTGCAGCCGTTCCTCCGACAGTGAATGCCCCATTCATGCAGCATTCTCGCGCACCAGAAGGAACCGTTTTCATCGCCGTAGGAGCTATCTTGGGCGCCTTTTTCTTGGCCATTCTTCTCTGGCGTGTCATTGTTGGTCTTTTACTTCATCGATCAGTCGAACGTGCTGCAAAGGCTCAGCACGACACCAACGCCAAGGCGGGCTTCCCTGCGCCGCCTGCACCCTTCTACAAGTACACTGATCAGAACTCAACTATGTCTCTCTCTCAGCCTGGTCGCAACCCCCGAAGGACGACGCGTGGTACAGTCCCATCCATGACCAATGCCAGTGCCTCCAACCTGTTCTTCTCCCCCACCGCAGCTACTTCGACAAACCCTGGAAACCGTGCATCTACCTATCTTCCCTCCGGCTTTTACGCCGCCGGAGCAGGATCTAACAACCAAACGCAACGACACTCCACCAGCATGACAAACCTTCGGCCAGATTCAAGGGGTCACGGCTCCCGCAACACGTTCCAAGGCACTCCTCCCGATTCGCCTCAAGTGGTAGGCACAGCCAGGCGGGATTTGAGCGCTACTTCGCTCAACCTCAACCGTCCACACAGCCAGCGCGCCCCTAGTGCCTATCTGGACGATTTGCTTGCTGATGACCCGAACGCCTTCCCTCCTTCTCACATGCCTTCCACGACATCGAGACATTCTGCGCATCTTGGGGGTCAGCAGTACCGTTGAATTTCATAGCTCGGAACGACAGGATTGGACTGGACTGTGGGCTTGGATATAGTTTTATACCACATTGTTATAGCGAGGTTTGAACAGCCTTTGTTGGTCATTGCACTTTTGAAAATTCCCTTTGCCTTTCTGGAATAGGTATCATCTCAAACAGGAGATGTTAGACATAGCCATTAATAGTGATTAGCTCTTTTTTATTATGTACAAAGCCCGAACGCCGTTGACTTTTTTTTCTTCATTCTCTAAAACACTGTTTGAAATTCCCCGGTTCTGTGAAATCTATTTTAGTATGTGATCCCCATTTCAAGACAGCCATGTCTCACTCGACCTTGGCGTCATCGCTTTTAACAATCCCTTCCATGGTTTCCCTAGCCCCCTTGATATCCTCTAACCGGATCCCGCTACGATCGCACATGCTCCTAAAGATGCCGCCCTCGTTCTTCCACAGCTCGGCAGGGCTGTCGAGCTCGGCGATCTGCCCGGCGTCCATGACGCAGATGCGGTCGTAGCCGACGATTGTGCGGAGGCGGTGGGCGATGCACAGGAGCGTCTTGCCCTTGAAGCCGGTGGCCATGGTGGTCTGGATCTTGACGTCCGTCTCCATGTCCACCGACGACGTGGCCTCGTCGCACACGATGATCTGGGAGCCGCGGACGAGGGCGCGCGCGAGGGCCATGAGCTGGCGCTGGCCCAGGGAGAAGTTGAGGCCGTCCTCCTCGACGGCGGTGTCGAGGTGGAGGTGGGAGGAGGAGGAGTCTGCCGCCGCGGCCTCGTCCGTGTTGGCGTCGGCGGGGACCAGGTCGGCCTGGCGGAGGGCGGACCACAGCTCCAGGTCCGTGTGCTCGCTGAACGGGTCGAGGTTGCTGCGGATGGTGCCGCGGAACAACGTGGGATCCTGTGGGATGATGGCCAGACGTGAGCGCAGGTCCTGGAGGCCGATTGTGGAGATGTTGAGGCCGTCGACGGTGATGGATCCGGCCGAGATCTCGACGAGGCGGAAGAGGGTGCTCATGATGGAGCTCTTGCCGGCGCCTGTGCGTCCGACGATGCCGATCCGCTCGCCGGCCTGGATGTGCATGGAGAGGCCCCTGAGCACAAGGGGCAGGTTGGCGCGGTATCGCATCTCGACCTTGTCGAAGATGATTTCTCCCTTCTCGGGCCAGCTGGGGCGGACATCGACTGTGTGGAGGGGTGCCTCCTCTTCCAGCTCCCTGCCGTAGTATCGGAGACGCTCAACGGCGTTCATTCCATTCTCGACTTCTGCCAATTGACGAACAGAGAACTGGAGCATCTGGGCAATCGACAAGATGTAACTCAGGACAAGACCGCCAATGGAGGGGTCCACGCTAAAGCGAGATGTGACAATCAGGATGCCCACGGTGAAGATGAGGGCATTGCCAATGTTGTCCAGCCTCATGGAGAGCCAGCGCTGGTTTGAAAAGGTCAAGTAGTACGCGGCATTCATCTCATCAATGGACTTGCGAAGGTCGGTGATGAAGCGTTCACGGAGACCGTAGGCCCGGATCGAAGAGATACCGGTCAGGCCCTCTCCAAACTTTGCGAAGACATTTGAGCGCAAGACGGATTCGAACCGCTTTACTTCTCGGGCCGAGGCGCGGTAGTACGATGCTGAGAACATGAACAAGAAGTACATTGGCACAAGAGCCACGGCAAAGTAGTGGAAGTAGGCAATGATGAGGGCAAACACGGCGGTGACCATGGCGATGGTGAAGAAGAACATCCTGATAGCATCTGTGAGATTGTTGTCCATGACGTCGACATCTCGAGAAAACCTGTTGGTGATGCGGCCCAGGGGCGTTGTGTCGAAGAATGACATGGGGGCACGCAGAACTCGCGTGACGGCTTCCTGTAACATCGTTTTGCTGGATTTCGTTCCGAGAACGGACAGCATCACGGAGAAGAGGTACATCAGGAGAGCCTGGACGACACCTAGACCAGCATATATACCAATATACTGACCCTTGGAGAGGCCATACTTGTCTGAGGTCCAGTACGAAAGCCACAAACTGGTGGTGATGTTGGATCCCTGAGAGAGAATGAGGAGGAAGATGACAAAGGGTCCGTTAAATATAGAACCCGAGGCGCGGACGTAGTCACCGTACACTGACCAGGGCACACTGGCGACTGCCCGCTCTTCCTGCTGCATGAGCGCGGCCCCCTTCTTGTTCTTCTTCGTTGTTTTCTTTGTAAGGGCGTTGTCGCCTTCCTCGTCATCTCCGCCCTCCTTTTCCTCTTCCTTTTCCTTTTCGACAGAAGTAGTCTCCATCAGGGTCTGGAAGCCCTGGTGGTTCTGCATGAGGTTATTGAACGTATCGATAGCCTGGATTTTCCCGTTCTCCATCCATACAATCCTGTCACATCGGTTCAGCACCCAAAGCTGGTGTGTTGCGAGGACGCGGCACTTGTCCTTCAGTAAACCAAGGATAGCATGGTCGAAGATATGGCGTCCAACGTGGGCATCGACTGCACTAAGGGGATCGTCCATGAGGACAATATCGGCATCAAAATAGATGGCTCTTGCAATATTGATACGTTGTTTTTGACCACCGGAGATGGTGATGCCTCGTTCGCCAATCTCCGTCTGGTCACCGTTAGGGAGCATGTCGAGATCGGCCTGGAGAGCGCACCTGGAGCATCACTTATGTTAGTCTCTTGTAGTAGATATTGAGAATTCTGTATGAACACTTACGCGTGGATCACCTCCTTGTACCACGGCTTATCGAAGTCGCGCCCAAAAGTGATGTTGTTCTGCACTGTAGCGTTTTGGATCCAGGCATACTGGGGGCAAAACGCTCGCGAGGCACCAAATACGACTTCGCCGCTTGTCTTTCGCATTTCTCCAGCAAGAGCAGAGAGCAATGAACTCTTTCCGCTGCCAACTGAACCAATGACGGCGACCAGCTCGTTTCGGCCGATTTCGATGTCGAGGTCGTGAATCTTGAACGGTTCTCTCTCCGATGTCTCCTTGACAGGTTCAGGATCCTGGGGTACGTCTTTGGCATTTTCCTTCTTGGGTTTCTTGGTATCCTTCTCTTTCTCATCGTTCTTTTCTTTCGCGGGTGTCTTTTCCCATGTGAACGCGGCGTTGTGCAGTTCAACTGCATTGGGGCCATCGTCCTTGTGAATAATGTCCTCCTCCATTTCTTCTGCCAGCAAGAACTCTTGGATTCTGCCCATGGAACCCCAGGCGTCGATGGCCTGACTGAGAACTAGGGGGATCAAGTTGAGAGGAAGACGGAGACCGTTGAACAGGGCCAGCGAGGAGAAGACCTGGGCAGCAGGGAGATCCGGCCTCGTGTAGGAGTAGCTGATGAACGAAAGCATGGAGGCAAAGACCGGAAGCGACATGCTCACTGCGTTGATTGCATTCCTGATAGCAAGGAGCACCTGGATGGCAGAGATCTCCCTGTTACGATAGGCCTGCAGGTGACCTAAGAATGCTTTCTCCCAGCCAAAGAACTTCACAAACTTGACGGACTGGATGATTTCTTGTGTAAGAGAAACACGCTGGTCAGTGATCTTGTTGATCTCCCTTCTCCTCCGGAACAGACTGCGGATGGCCCTGGTGAGAAGCGGGGCACCGATCACCAGAAGGCCGAGACCTGCCAAAGCGTTGTAAGAGATGTTGATGATGAGAAGGACGATTGTGATGATGAGGGAGACTGGGGCGGTCCAGACCATGTGGAACAAGCCAGATGCCTGGTCAATACGATAGGTATCGACACTCATTAAATTCGTGATGCGACCGTTTCCCCAGCCGGTCATGTCCGGTTCTCCCGTTCCCTTGGCTTTCGCCTTTTTGTCTTCCTTCTTCTTCTTCTTTTTCGAATCAGCCGCGGTGTCGGCGTTGGGTGACGTGCCCTCAGCCGCCCCTTTAATCTGGACATCTCCAGCTCTTGCGCGCCCAGAGATGAGCATCGACTTCTCGTATATTAGTCCAATGAGCACACCACGCGATTCGCCCCCCACCATCATGCCGTTGTAAACAAAATGGTTGATAGAGACACTCTGAAGCACTTGCATCACAGTAATACCGACAGCAAGTCCGATTCCGTTCCCGATGGGAGGACCATCTCTGCCGGTTTGCGTGGCGATCCATGCCTCACTGGCGAACGAAATGAGATAACGCAGGACAAAAGGCGACAGAGTCTGAAGGATTGATGATATTATCGCAAAGAAGGCGCCGACGTAGAACTCTCCAAGGAATGAATCGTGGAGCGCCCAGAACAGAGGGTTCTTGGCCCCCTTATCAACATGTTTCTTGAATGCCTCCTTGACCTTTGCCGTTAGGGGATCAGCAGCTCTGTCCGGATTCACTGACCATATGTCCTTGGCATCCAGCTCTCTCTTGTACCCTGCCGTCATGATGGGCGCCATCCAAGCGAAGACCATCTTGCTCAGGAAGCTGGCCTTGTACTCCCTCGAGATGATCCTCTCCTCTGGGACAGGCGGGATGCTCCCCCATCTCAAGGGGTTGATGATCCTGCGCCAGCCCTTCTTCCCCTGTTGCGCAGGCTCGGGCCCGGCGGAAGTGGCAGTGGCATCGGTCGCGTAGCTCTTGGTGGCTGTGAGCTTGCCGCGAGGCTTCTCATCCTCCACGTCCGAATCAGAGTTGATACGCGGTGCTGAAGAGATGGCGTCCCCGTCGCCCTTCTCGTCTCCAATTGACGGCGTCAAATTGCTGGGGGTTTCCCCACTGTCTTCATCCTCCTTGCGGCTCTGGACCCGGGAGACGACGACATCTTCGGGCTCGGGGTCATGCGAGGTTGTGGGCTCTAGGGCGGCGGCTTGGACATCTGCAGGTTGCGCCTGGAGCTCCCTGTTTTCCTCGTCACTTGTCGGCCCCGACATGGTCACCGGCCGGTTCTAATTGGTGTTGGCGTTGTGTATGGCGGCCACTTGCCAACCTCGCTGGTTGCGATGCGACAACCACGACTGCCAAGACTTGCTCCGTACGTCAGATGGAAGCCAATGCGCAAATATGGGGCATTTCAAAGTCGACCGGTATTCAAAGAGTATGTATAGATAGGAAGGACCCAGGTTCAAACCCCTACCTCGCTGTCATTAACGATCGAATGGATGGTCTGTGAGAGTGTCACTACGTGGGGACCAGTTCAAGATGATCCAGACAATTGGGTTAGGCGTGAGATGCGATGGGTTGTGGTTCTTTTTATGAACCAGCAGCTTGTCGATTCGGCTGCCAAGCATCCGAAGGGACAGGGCACCACGGCTACTTGAATCAAATCAGGGCCCTCGGGTTGCGGGGAAAGGAGCGGGCATTGGAAAAGCGCGAGCCAAGTCGTGCGTATCATCGGCGAACAGGCAACAAGGTGACCAGCTCTCTATGTAGGGGATGTCATGCTCAGAGTCATGGAGGGTGGGCCGGACGGGAGCCCGGCCTGCGATTGCCACTGCACCATTGTCGGTTGTTTACTGCTCTATTCGTATTAGGCGGCCCATGGGAAATACGGGGACTAGTAGATACACATGGGAAAACGGCAAGGCCATTGCAATTAGGCAGGTCTGAAAATTCTTGCCTTGTCAACGAAGCGGTTGGTGGTGTGTCAGCACCTTATATATCAGCTTGTGACCTCCACCATCTTGAGAGTCATGTTGCAGATTGACATTTCAACCGGGAAATATAGACGCGGGTGCGATAACATATCATACGCAAGTCATGCCTCCATTCTCCCGTTCCCTTGGGCTAATTTCTCGACCGTTGTGGCTTAAACGGCTTCTGTATCCCATTAATAATTACCCAATAAGATTGGCGGGTCGTTAGCTACACGGATCCAGTATAAATTGGACTCAGCCTTCATCAACTCAGGCTTTGGAGACGGGATCCCCAATCCCGATCCGGTATCCAAAGTCTGGCCCATTCCGGTTCGGTCCATCTCACCGTGTCCACGGCGACGCTTACTCGGCAACTGAGCGAGGCGGAACGAGTACGATACCGCCGTCTGACGAACACGCAGCTGATGCCTGATGAGGATTTGCTCGGTTGCCTTGTCTGCCTTTCCGCGCATTGGCAACCATTGGACGGATCATGGATCTGGCGATCGACCAACGGATTTCGGACTTAACAAGAGTGCGTTGAGGTGACTAATTACCTGTAGTGCCCCACGGAATGATGGTGCCGAAGAGCCATCGCACGGCTCCGAATCGGCAGGGCTACTCGTACCTCGAAACAAATGCCTATTCCGGCCAGCCTATACGAGGAACTACCTACACGCGTATCTTGAAGGAGATTGGCATTGTGATAAAGCCTGGCTCGGTATCTGCATCACAAAGTGCCATGGTGACTTGTGGCATGCATAGGGAATCGCGAATAGTGTGCCAATACCAAAATATTAAGCATATATCTTCCTTTGTTTACATCATACACCTTGTTGTCTTGCTTCTTAGATAGCTGTGCCTAATGTGCGGAGGTCACTCGCAACTAGCCATTGTAAATGTTGAGTGTTGAGCGCGAAATGAAATCACCATACTATCTTCTACTACAGCTTATTTGAATTTGAAAAAGCGACACAGATCAAAAATACTACGCAAGTTCGACAGTGACGCTCTGATCATCATGTAGCTCTCAGAGGAAAACTTAGATTAGATAAGCCTCCTTATCTTATCGCATTGGTGGGGCGCATCGAGAGTAAAGCATCAACAATTTGCAGCCAGGTACGAAGACCAGGTACGAAGAAAAGGTTGTCGCAAGACCAGGTTCTGGAAATCACGAATTGCACAGCCCAAGAACTAAACACAAAACTCCACGGGACACTCATTATTGGACGAAAAAGCCACTGGGTATAGATGGCTACTGACGGAGTCCAGCCCGTCGCCTTGCCTGGCCAAGTGCTCGGTCCCATCACCAAGTTTGCGCCAGGCTCTGGAACACACATATTCCAAGGCAATGTGGTTTCCTCATTAATGGGCCAGGTTTCCGTTGTAGCCCCAGCCAAAGCTCCCGGGCCGGCCAAAAGGCTCAATAAGATCACCGGTGTAGCTCTGCCTAAGGACGAACTGGCTACCATCTCAGTCGTGCGTCATGGTAGCCGGCGCGAGGTCCTACCCGATGTTGGCAACATTGTTCTGGCACAGGTATTACGTCTGATGCCAAAGCAGGCTATCGTTATGATTAAGCAAGTCGGAGATACTGTTCTGCAGACGGAGTGGCAGGGAGTTATCCGGGTTCAAGATGTGAGGGCGACAGAGAAGGACAAGGTGAAGATCTACGAGTGTTTCAAGCCGGGCGACATTGTCCGCGCACAAGTTGTGAGTTCATCCTTGAGGTTTCACGCAAACTCATGCATAGGGATATGCCGAGCCACGTCTATATATTTGAGACATTGTACTGACAAGCAATGCAGATTTCGCTCGGTGACCAAGCAAACTATTATCTGTCCACAGCACAGAATGAGCTTGGAGTCATTATGGCGACAAGTGAAGCTGGAAACGACATGGTTCCAGTGAGCTGGAAGGAATTCAAAGACCCGGAAACCGGCGTCAGCGAATTAAGAAAGGTCGCAAAACCGAGCTGAAGTGATCGCCACGGCGCAGCTGAGCTCAGAATCATATATCAACTCCAAACGCCCTTGGATTGAGGCCCGGATCAGAAATGATCAAATACGAATCAAATATGGGAATGCCATAACCAAGAATCGGGAGACAGGGGAAGAGTTGCAAATACACTACACTGCAACTTTCTTATGCGCAGAGTTCTTATGGTGGTATGATTTCGGCTATCAACGGATCATTCGACACCCACCACCGCTTGTCCACTCCAATATAAAGATAGAGAAACAGCGAAACAATTTGCATAAAATTTAATTCGATCAAGATGACTTGTCGTCAAATATAACGGCTACTATTTGTTCTGTCTTAGTTGGATCGCACTTGGCACACGTGTGATGTTGTGTTTCGCTGTTGTGGCGCTTAGGCTGAGCTGGAACCGTGAAATTAATTTGACTTGACGCCACCACCAGAAGTCAATCCCTAGACGATCGACAGGGCTCCGGCGGCAATTCACACCTAGTTTCGACGCCAGCGGCAGCAATCACCCCTCCTATCTCCATCCAGGCAGCCTCTTGGCTATACGAGATTTTGTGTGCCGTTGGGAGACGTCCACATATTGACCCTGCCAGCCTCCCCATCATCCTGGGAATCCATGCCATGTCGACCACCATGGTGGTAACCATGGCCTCGACGCTCCCCACCACCACAACCGCCGCTCCCACCAAGCTCTCAACAACGACGATGACAACCACGACCAGCCTGCCGTGCTGCCCAAACTGCGGGGACAGCCTCCCCTCCCCCGAAGAGACCCAGGCCGAGCTCTCCCAAGCCCAAGCCCGCATCGCCGAGCTCGAGACCCAGATCCGCACACTGAACGAGAAGGCCTCAGCGGCCGCCGAGCGATGGGCCGGCTACGAGGAGCAGCTCACCAAGCTGCGCTCGCAAGATCAGGCCCCCCCGCCGCCGCCGCCCAAGAACGACCCGGGGGCGAGGATCCCGCGGGGGCCGGACGGCCTGGCCCCCCATCACCCAACCCGATCGTTCACGAACCCAAACCTCCACGTGGGCGACCGGCCGCCCCAGCTGCACCGCATCAACAGCGTGCCGACGTCGCAGGCCCAGGACACGGCGCCCCCCGACAGGCAGACGCGGGAGCTCCTCAAGGCCCTCTCGCGGGAGAAGCTGCTGCGGAAGGAGGCCGAGGGGCGGCTGACTGCCACGAGCAAGGAGATTGAGGATCTGAGCGTGTCGCTCTTCGAGCAGGCCAATAACATGGTTGCCGACGAGCGCAGAGCCAGGGCACACCTCGAGGAACGGGTTGGGGAGCTGGAGAAGAGGGACGTGGAGAAGAGACGACGGCTGGAAAGGCTGGAGACGGCACTGACGAGGATCAAGCATGTGCGAACTCTGCTAGACGAGTGATTTGACGAGGGTATGGGGTACGATGATACGCAATGGGATATTGGGATTAACGGCGTTGGGGGTGCAAAAAAAAATATGTTTCGGGGGTGAGAGATTCACTTCATACATTAGAGATTTATCAATGTCAGGAGCCGACGAGGATGGCCAACGAAGAAATCATGCTCGTCATGTATTAATATAATGAATTTGGACAGGAAAACCGGGTTTAGCAAAGGAAAGGGCTTTCTATTGTCACATATCGTGAGAAGACAACTGTTCTTGAAATCGTGCGAACATGGTTGATAGAGTGGTGAACTCCTCAGGTAATCATGTTCAACTTCTGACCTAATAAACCGAACTCCAAAACAAAATCGTTACAGGCTCCCACTCCTTTTTCTTCTTCTTTACTGTGTGCATCTCAGTCTTCAATACCGTTCCAAGACTTTTCATCGTCACTTCGTTCGCGGCGTCCGCCATTCACTGCCTTGCGAGGCGATGAAGCTCCCTCGGGGGATTTTGGCTTCTGCTCAGTAGGGCTCGGTCTATGTGAAGGTTTGTTCTCTGGTTCAACGGGCTTCTCTTCGGTGTTGGAAACATCCTCCTGATCGCCATGGCTTGGTCGACTTGGCCTCATCTTTTTCTCCTTTGATGGTGGTTGCCATTGGCTTCCGGGTTCAGCGTTCCACCGGTCAAGCATGTCGCTCACCTTTGGACCCCAGACTTCCTCTCCTTTGGCCATGTCGTCAAACTCAAGACAAGTGGTACCCCCAACCGTGAAGTCACTTTGTCGTAGCCGGCAAAGCTCAGCCATGAGACCCGCCGAATCCAGCTCAGCCCCGAGATCGTGACAAAAGCTACGAACATAATATCCAGATGAAACGGTCATGCGAATCTTCGCAGCGGGTGGGCCTTCGTCGCTCCAGGGAGGAGGTGTGCTTGCATCGGGCGCGGCTGGAATTAGGTCGCGGCCCTTGTCAGAGAGGCCACGGGGGAGTTTGCCCAGGGCACCCGACATCATGGCGGGGTTCTTTTCATGGCGATTTCGCTTCTTGGGGGGCTGATCCTTGATCAGAGTGTCTTGCCTCTCCTCGAATTTGCGCTTGAAACTCTCGTGGGCTTCGAGAGCCTGGTTATCCTCCTCCTTTTCTTCCGGTGTGAGATTTTGCGACGATTCCTGTTGCTTCTTCAGTCGCCAAACTTGCTCAGCAATGTTGCGCTCCGCTGCTTCAGCCTCCTCCGTCGGCCATCTGTGGTTGTGCTTTCCTGGCTCGTACCATTCTACAAGTTCTAGTTCGCTGACCTCAACTTCCCGGGCCTCAATCTCACGGGGAATTGGCTTTCCTTCGCGCGCATATTCGTACAGAGGCTTTCCGTTCATTTTGAGTGCCGAGAACAGGGGCGGGACCTGCTTCTGCTTCCCCTTGAATGCCTCCATAGCCTTGAGGACCTTTTCCTTTGTGATGTGCTCGTACGGGCGTTTGTTGATGATGCGACCCACGCGATCGTAGGTATCTGTGCTCGCGCCGAAAAGGACCGTGGTCTCGTATGTCTTGACGCAGTTCAGAAACTGCGGAAGAGCCTTGGTGCCAGACCCAATCCCCAGAATCAACACGCCGGTCGCAAGAGGGTCAAGTGTACCGCCGTGGCCCATTTTCACCAATGGTTTCTGTCTCTTCAACCGTTTACCGGTAGCATAACCCTTCACATTGCGAGCTCTGTCCAATTCGGATCCGAGAAGAGGCTTGAATACGGCGGACGGGCTGAAGACTACCTGGCACTCCCGTATGACCTGCGCGGAGCTCATGCCACAGGGCTTATTGATGGCTAGGCAGCAAGACGAAGCTTGACGTTAGCGAATAGATCGAACGAAGTGTACGGGGAGGAGCGGCTTGCTCCATGGAATATGGAATGCGAGGGAAAGCCAGCGGCTAAACCTTCATGTAGACATACCCAAGCAGCCTTCTCGGATGACATCTGAAGCCATCTTGATCAACGTCTCAACGCGTGGCATACGGTTCCAACCGCCGCAACCAGGAGATTGCGCCAGGCAGTGCGTCTGGAAGGGAAAAAAGTCTGGAAGTGGAGCGCAAAGGTTCGCGAAAACCAGACAAACTATTTTTAAAGAGGATCAAGGCCTGCAAGGCCGCCGTTCGCAAAGTGTATGTGGAGCAGCCTGCTTGTTCTACCATCTGCCCGCTCAAAAAAAAAAATTAGCCTACGACGACCATCAAAAAGGCACTGGAAGGAGTGGGGCACGTCTGCTGTGTTACACGATCACAGCATTCATAGTGGCGGCTTCCTGCGCAGCTACCCATGAACTATAATACGTGCACAATACAAACTAAATATCAATCAATGTCTTTTCTAAAGGAAGAGCTACTATTGACAAGCTTAAATAAACGTGCGCATGACTCTAAAGATACATTTAGTAGATCAGCAGGCTGGGACTTGCAATATCCTGGCAAGGTTCCAGCCTAAATTAGCGGCTCCTGACGCTATAGTGGGCGGACTCGCGCTGGAGGTTTATCAATTGACCGATAAGAGTGGTTCACACGCGACTGTCTTCCAACTCACCTCAATTCAAGTCGCAACCTCAGCAGCATCTCACAATAGGATGCACTCGTCACCGGCTGGCATCGCAATTCCTCCATGACGCCTTAAGCTTGCCCTACTTCCATTTGGAAAGCCGCCCAGCCTATGGTCCCGCTCCTCCAGCTAGTCGCCCAGGGCTTCCACGACCAGAACCCCGCCACAGCCGCCGCCGCACTCGTTTCATAGCGACCTACCCGATCGCAACATATTCCAACATGCCTAGAAGGTCCCGGAAAGACTCGGATTCGAGTGTTGAGACGGTGGACTTTAGCCGCATTCGATGGCGCGAGGAGTCGACCGTCTTGCGTACCTTGCCCTCTGAGACATCCTCGAACCCATGGCCTTGCTTCGAGCTGAGGGACGCCGTGGTTCTTAATAAGGACGGAACCGCTCTGGAGAATGCGCTGAACGTTCTCTTAGACGGGCCCTTCATCATACGCGGCACCATGGTCATTGATGAGGAGGAACAAAGAGAGTATTGTAGGTGGTCTCCCTCCCTCGCCTTGTGCCACGAAACATCAGTTAACCTTGCATGCAGTGGTTGGCAGGTTCAAGAACGAAGTCCCCATTCAAATCAATGCGTGTAGTCTCTACTCAATCGGTGAAGCACCCGGAGAAGACGCCAAAGGCGAACCGCCGAGTCTCCAGGTCCTGTGGGTTGCTGGCCAAGGTGGATGGTTCGAGGTGAATCCGGCTCCTGCGTATCAGCTTATGCATCGAAAGATCCGCGAAGCAATCAAGCTATACTATACAATTTACGACATATATGATACTTTTGGGGCACAAACTCTGAACCGGCAGTCAAAGACGTCGAAAGCATCCGATCCTCTTGAGAGACTGGCACCCGTATTTCTTCAGGTGTGTTCGCCCCGGACAGCTACAGCGAACAGCTTGACTGACCAGTATGTTTTATAGTATGCTATCAGGGTGGGGGATGGTTCAACCGTCGAGGAGGTTGCTGCCCGGTGCAATGAGATTGCTCCTTTTCTCCTATGCCAGTTTCTAAAGACTGATGAAGAATTCAAGGACTGGAAAAAGACATATCTATACAGGTGGCTTACCAGAAACCACGAGGTAAGTTCTCACCTCTCACTCTCATTTATCATCTCAATTTCTAAATGTAGATGTAGGAAACATTTGACAAGACTTGGAAGGCCCTGAGAAGCCCGCTCAAGAATCAGGCACCGCCCTCCACGACAGCCTCTGCAGTGAACGAGGCACTCCCTAGATCGCAAAAAGAATCATCTGTTAATTCCGACAGCACTGCTCATACTTCACGCAAGGGAGCCCAAACACTAAGATCAACAAGAACGAGATCTGGGTCCAGTGTCGTCACTACCGAGGACGCGCCAACGCCAGAAGCGGCGGCCACAGCAACCATCCCAATACATTCACGAGCTACTCGCTCGAGATCCAAATCAAATAACCCAGTTCCTGAGACAACTCAGAAGGGTCCATCTTCAGCATCGGCCCAGAATGGGACAAAGATACCGCCTGCCCCTTCAGCATCAACTGACGATCAAAGCGCCTTCAATTCCTTACTGGAAGTTCTTGAACACGCATTTGATGAAGGGTCTCAAAAAAAGAAACCCCCCACTAAAACCCAGATTCTGAATATAATATACTTCGGTAATAAGTTTCCCAATTACAGGGTTGGTCCCGGTGCACACCGGGTTCCCGTTGAGGAAGTTTTCCACTTCAACGCCGCTCGATTACTACAAGTACTGGACAAGAAAAAATATTCCGGATCCGAAATTTACGCATACATACAGCAGCTGGCAGAAACAGAATTCAAGCCCGTCGCGCTTGGGCCTGACAAGTTTCCTTTTCTTATTGTACCTCGAAAGTCTAAGCCATTCTACCCCCGGGCTGCAACAAATCAAGTCACAGACGCTGTATCTGGCCTCGTTGATGACGACTCGGAAATCCACGATGACATTCCTGAGACACCAAGGGTAGGAAAGAGCACATCTTTTAGGCGGGCTGGTAAATCCACTCTCCGCCCAGTGACCAGCACCAAGAAACGGCACCACTCTGATATCGAGAGCGATTCCGAGTCACCTTTAGCTCGAGAGGCTAAGAAATCACATTACTTCTCCGATAATGATGAGAACAATGCTAAGAATGTGGATGAGTCGGATGAGGGCGAAAGCTCTTTCGCGTCTGTTGATCCCATTAGATTGGTTATCCGAGCAGATAAGATCCCGTCAACAGTTCCTCGAGGCCCTGATAATGCGTGGACCTGCGATGAGGAAGACTGTGACTACATGGTGCGCGGAGGGGATGAGGAGGATTGCAAGGCCCGGATCAACGAGCACTTCCATGCTCATGAGCAGCAACACAACAGAGTGCAGCTTGCAATGACCGAAGGCACCCGTGGCCATCTCCCAGTAAAGTATGTTTACTTCCCCCCGTTTCTTATAACAGTTGCATTCCAACAACCCCCAACCCTCGGGCACACCTCTAGTGAGGCAGATGCAGCTGTACGAATATCTCAGACGGCACATGACCCCAATAGCCTGGGATCCAGTAGATCCAGATACAGCATAGAGGCAAGCCACTCGTCCCAAGGTACATCGGAAGCACCAAGCAGTCCCGCCGCATCACAAAACAGCCATCCGGCGCCCACAGGATCCTTTCGGCGCCACCTAAACCAATTTCGGCGCCGTGCACATCCTATTTCTGACAACATACATTTGCTAACTCTATCACAGCCACCTACTAGAAAAACTCAAGAGGCTCGGGGAAGCGTCCATCGAGGAGGAACCGCGCACGATCGACGGGACGATCCTCCCCCAGCCAATCAGGCGGAATCTGATAGTTTGACGGAGCCAGATGAATCTAGCCCAGGGCATCGGGGTGAAAGCCGGGACAACAATGAAAATGATACCCCAGATTGATTGTTTTTTGGCGTTTTCAGGGTATACAGAGAGATAAGGCTCTTACGGCAAAGCTGGACACTTTAGGAATATACGTACACATATATATACGGAGTTGAGGACCAAGGCAGAGGGCCCCAGGAGATATTTCGAATTCAAGGCATTGCTAGGTTCTTGTTGAAAACTACGTCTTGCCAGGTAAAGCAAACTAGCTCGCTTCACAGTTCCAAGTCTCATCTAACGAAAATGCACTCATCGATTGAGAAAAGGGGGGTCCATTACTCCCCAATCTGGCTTTACATCTCAAAACTGTCAAATACCTCTCCCTAGCTAGTCCCTCAAAACAGAAAGAAAACGAGCGCTGGCCCAGTCCCCTCTGGCAGGAACAATTGGCTAGCCCCGGCTCTCATCCCACGATGACTTTGTGGGGGATTGTATTCAGGGGTAGGGAACCAACCGCCCTCTGCATTCTGGAAATCTGCGGTTCGTCACCAAACCCAGCAGCCCAACCATATGATAAAGAGTCTCCATCTAAACAGCTTCAGGAAACCTGCAACGCATACCTTTTACCTACTAGAAAAAAAAATATCAAATCCTCTCGGCGCTAATGTTACACAATTTTCACCTCATCTTTTGCTTCATGCCGCTCTATGCTATGAGCTCAGCGTCCGCCGAGTCATCGGCCTTTGCGGGGGCAGTCTTACCCGCCTCAAGCAAAAACGCCTCTTCGATTGCTGCCCTGCGCTGGAAGACGCGAAGCCATCTCTGACCCCACCTCCGGGTCATGGCTTCCTCGGTAGTGGTGCCATCGCCGTCTTCCATCATTTCGTCTTTGTTACCGGCCGCCCAGCTAGACAGAGCGTCGTTCATTGCCTGGAAGAGTTCCCTCATCGCCTTTGTCTCCTTTGCGCGGCCCTCCTCATCGATATCTGAAGAGGTATACAACTGGCGCACACGAGTCGTAACCTTGGCGACCGTGTGAGAGACGAGTTCAAACACATGTGGCTGGGCGAGGGAGAACCCGCCATCCGTGCCGTTGGAAGTCGTGGCAGCAACAAGCGCCCAGTCCATGACGGAGAAGGGTGTAAGCACAGAGTAGTTCAGGAGCTTCTCGATGATAGACAAGGCAATTCCCGGGTGAGCTTGCCAGTAATCCATGACGGAGGTGACGATCTGCGATCGGGCTGCTTCCGATTTCGCTCCAACGTCAAGGAGTCTTAGCTTGGTACGATCGATGCATGCGAGTACGTGGCTGAGCGACTTGGAACCCACCCAGCAAACGGCAGTCATGAACACGTCAGTGCTGGTCACTAGGGGGTCCAATGCTTGTTCCGTGGCCTGGGCGTGAATACTCTCGATTAGAGGCTCAAATTCCTCATCGGTGGCCTTTCGTCTCAAAAGCGCTCCAATTTCTTGGCCTTCTTTGGAGAATGGTGTGTCTATAGACCTATTATTAGTCGCGAGACTCGCAAAAGAGATACGGTTAAAGGAGATACACATACCAGGATTCGAAAACTTGAAGTCGGGTACATCCTTTTCTTTCTCTGGGCCAACGAACTTATGATACTCCTGTGGCAGAGTCTTCTGGATTCTCTGGGCAAAGCTCAACCGGACCTCCTTATCGAGAGCACCCTTGAGAAACCAAATGCAAGGGTGACGTTCAGGCAGATCCGTATCGGATGTCCACTCGGCCCACTTCCAGGTAAAGCCAAAGTTACTTAAATGATGCGAGAACCAGTCGAGGAAACGGTAGCTCAACTCCAAATCCATCCGAGGATTGTTCCGGTAGAGAAATCGAATAGCTCTGCCCAAGCTTGGTGCGATGGCAGCCGGGGCCAGTTTGCAAGCCTCGGTCAAAACGGAGTGGTAGTACACCAGCTTGCACTCGGCCTTAGGAAGCTGAAAAATTTGGGAGAAAACAGTGTCGACGGCCACGTCCTCCGGTTTCCAGGTCGAGCTATTCGAAGGAAAATTGCGCAATTCATCGAAAGGTGTTGCCCGCTTGACGAAAGTTCCCTCCGCAAAGTAGCAATCTAAATCCATAAGATAGCGTGCTGTAACATTTCGGTTGTAGTTCAGGATATTGATCGTATCAATGAGCCCGTCGCGAATCAAAGAGGAGGCAATGCTGGTTGATGGCGGGACAGACTGAGCGTCCTGGTCGGCATAAACAGAAAAGTAAACCTCAGGGAAGAGAGGATGAGGCCCCGCAATGACTGTCACGGGGATATTGATAGCTGGAAGAGGATGCTTGGATGGGCTGGACAGCTTCTCTTGGAGCTCAACGTCCTCCAATGGCATTTCCCAGGGCCGAGGTAAGCAGGCAAGCTCCCAGTCTTTTCCAGCCTCGGCCTGGAGCTGCTTTTGCAGCAACATGCATAAACTTGGTGAGGCGGTCGATTTATCCTCGCTCTCGGGGATGAAGGGGTCGACAAGGGCTTGTAGTGCATGCGGCTCGGACGCGATGATGTCAGTCTTCTCCATCAGTTCAGCAGCCTTCTGGTGGAATTGGCCATGCGCCGATACCATGATGTATGGGATAGTAAGCTGGATGATCTTCACTAATTCGGTTCCAATAGTCTGGTATATCGTTAGCAAATAGAGCGCTTCATATCCGGACAGGGTCCCAACTCACGTCATCGGAGCTGGCTGTTTGAAGGTCAGCAGCACGGTTGAAGAGCTCATCCAGCAGAGGGAAGACGCCATCTCCCTCCAAAGTGGACTGCAGGCAAGCAAGGAGCTTCAAATGCAGCTTCACGTCCCTCCATTCCCCAAGTGCAATCTTCGACTCGATGCTCTCCGCCAGCTTCGTAAGAAACTCGCCAAGCAATTCGGACTTGCGCGTGTTGGCAACCAGGAGCACAGCGGCCACGAAGGGAGTCTTGAGCGGCTGCTCAAGGTGAAGCTGTATCGCAAGCTTTGTGAAAGTGCTGCGCAGATTCTCGTCGTCGTAGTTGTCTGTAACCATGAAGGCGATGTTTTGAACCTCCTCGGACCATCGGCGCATTGGCGAATCTGCAATGCTCAGAAGCTGGCGTCGGACCCTGACAGGGAGCGGTGCCGAATCCATCCGCCGGCGCTGGTTTCTTCGATCGTGGTGCTCATCGTCATCTAGACAGAGACCTTCATTAGCAATTCCACATCGTCGCCGAAGCGTTCTAGACTGAAGCTCAAGGGACTAACCTCTGAATCTCCGTTTACGATGGTAGCCACCTGACTGGCGCCTGTCGTAGTCACCCATCCTGAAAAATTATTACCAGAATTGGACAGAGATAACCGAATTGATGAAGGCTGCTCGGTCAGTGAAAAGGGAGCGGGAGGTTGAAGTTGAAAATCGGGAGAGTCAACCCAAAGCTTAAAAAAGGCGGCCAATGCGCCAACACACGATCTGCGCGCGTCAAAAGTTGTAACAAGCCTTGGCAGTGCCTGTACCGCGGATGAATAAAGAGGTGCTAGCTTCCAGTGGAGCAGCCCCCTGGAGCCTTTCCAGCTCTTCTTGCCTGAGGCATCAAGGGCGAGCCACATCTGCCTCAGGGATCACAGAGCCATCTTTTGAAACCGCGTGTCTTTCGAGCACAATCACACGTAGTCTCCTTTGTGTTTGGTATCATGTTTCTTGATTAACCACTACCCCCTAGCATGCAATGCACAAAACTCAAATTTCTAGCCTAATCTACGCAGCGCTGGCTTGATATCAAGGTCAACCGGCCAAGCAGTTCTGGATGCGTGCGTAGGCACCCAGCTTTTCTGAATGCCTGAATGAAAGTACAACTGGCCTATTCATGGAGATCAAGGTATTGGTAATTGTTCACCGCGCACATGGCAAGGAATCATGGGGTTACCCCTGGAAGCGTTGGACTCGGCTTGTTCAGCTCATGGATTTTTTCCCCCCTGGTTCCTTGTGTCTACTTTTTAAAACCCCCAAAGAAAGTATCATAGCATATCAAAACTGAAGACCCTCAGGCGTTTCCCATAAATAATCGATGTGTCGTTAAAACCCCCCTCCCAATGTGACAATGCTGGTCAACAGACGCAGAAATCGTGTATGTTAGGAGTATGTCTACTCTCCAGCAAGCGAATAGAGAAAACCTGGCCGCCATTAGAGCAAGTCGGGCAGAATGGGTAACCAGTCCAATGGCGCATGGATCGCGCGACAGATTCCCTTCAATTTCAGTATAAAAAGGAAACACGCACAATCTGCATGCCCGGATCTTCCACAACAACTTCAACACTGGTCCTTGGAGAAAGAAGACGAAAGATAACAAGGAGAACAAATAGAGAGCCATCTCTGTCATGAACCGAAACTTGGTCTAAAAAAACGTAATACCCTGTGACATGCATCATGTAACCTTGCTTCCTAACGCCTCACCCCCTGTGGCGCCCAAGAAAGCGTGACCGACGGGGGCATACACAATGGCCCGGTAACCCTCCACAGAGGCAGCGGCCTCATAGGCTTTTTTGCACCCCGTCCAAGTTCATCCTCCGGCCTCCAGCGTCGAACTTCTTGTGTATTCCTGGCACTAACACATTGAGCCTCAACATACATTTCCGCCGTCTATTCGTCGGTCCGATCCCAGCAACGAACAAACAGACGCACTCTTCACTCCATGTCCCTTGCCGGCATGCAATATCAATGGTAGGCATCTCATAACCACATGTTGTGCTATAGCAATGCAGGGAGTTTTCTATCAATCTCGCCAGGCTTAGCACGCTCAATCGAGCTTTGCCATCATTTCTTCCTTGGTCAGCGGCGTGAGGTTGTCAAGATCAAGACCTCGAGAGGCTAAGACAGGGCGCATATGCTGTGGTACCAGTTGCTGGTTCAATAATGGCGCAATCGACAGTTCTGCAATCGTTAGCCAACAGAATCCCTCATCATGTTTGTAGGCGACTATTCAGCTTACCATGTCGTGAAAAATCGAACAAATCAGGTAGGTCCCGAAGTTGTCCGGTGCCGTGCCTCGAGTCGGGCAGTTTCGTGGCAGGGTCGCGCAGTTCGTCGAAGAATGGGTGCACCATGGCATCAATGGCAGTTTGTCTCTCGGTGGGGGTGTACTCCAGCAGCTTAGCAATAAGATCAATCGCATTGGCATCGGCCTTGCGGAACACCTTATTGAAAGGATGTGGCTTGATCTGTGGGAATCGGTGCTCCATGTAGTTCGGGTTCATGGTCCGAATCTGCTCACGGGTGGGAGTACCCAGAACCTTGATTATCTCCACGAGCTGATCAATTCCCGACTCTCCAGGGAAGAGAGGTTGCCCCAACATAAGCTCGGCCATAACGCATCCAGTCGACCACACATCTGGAGTCAAGTTAGCAAAGGGGCCCATCTCCCACGAAAATGCAAAGCCTCAGAAAGATAGGCCAAAAGCGGATGATTGTCTCACCTATTTTAGTAGTGTAGTTTGTAGCACCGAAAATAAGTTCCGGGGCGCGATAGTAACGCGAGCAGATGTACGACACGTTCGGTTCGTTCGGAACCAGGATCTTCGCGCTGCCGAAATCACAGAGCTTGAGCACTCCACTGTTGGGGTCCAAGAGAAGATTTTGAGGCTTGATGTCACGATGGCAGATGCCCTGGGAGTGGATGTAGGCAAGTGCTCGGAACAGCTGGTAGATGTACAGCTTAACTTCCAGAATAGGCATGGGGATCTTCATCTTGTTGAAAAAGCGGGATGCTCGATAGACCGTCTCGGGAACAAACTCTTGAACCAGGTTGAGGTAAACCTCGTCTCTCTTTAGCCAAAGTCAGCAATAATCCATAGCCCGCTGGTCAAGGGTTGGGCTGACAACTTACGCGTTCACCGTTGGAGTAGTAGAAGGCCTTCAGTTGTACAATGTTCGGGTGGCGGACAATTCGCATGATTTGGAGCTCACGGTTCTGAGGATAGCTTGTCAGTCTATGTGAGCTCGAGCTGAGCGTATGGGGGGTAATCACCTTGAATCTCTTGTCCTGGAGAACACGCTTGATGGCGGCATCCTCTCCGGTAGGAGAAAGCTTGGTCTGGAACACCACGCCGAAAGATCCATTGCCAACAATCTTGCATTGCGTGTATTGCAAATCCCTGGTCTCGCCTGTGATGCCGTCTTGAACTTTCTCGCGGATAACCTCTAAAACACAGTCAGATACATCCAGGCAAGAAAAGCACGCAAGTGCGGATTAACCGCCAGGTTGAGAACTCACCTCCCATTCTCAGGCTATTTAAAGCGTTAGGTCGGTGCGACGACATTGTTGCGGTGGTTCGCTCCAAGCGCAGACTACCGGGTTTTCGTCAAGGCGGTCCGCGAATGCGTGGAGAATGAAGGCGCAAAAGTAGCTCTCTGGGAGTACGCCGTGGTGGGCAACTAGAAGATGGTCGACGATGTTAAGGGTATGTGTGAACTCCCCAGACAACTTTTCACTTCGCCAACCGCTGGCAGGTACGAGGCTTTTTCGATGTGTAGGTTTGGTCGAAACAGCTCGAATGTTCCGACAATGGTGAAGAGAATTGACGCCTCGTGACCACAGTAGCGTAGAACAGTGTGGCAGGTCTTTGTTGGCGTTTCGGCGCTGCAGCAGAGAGTCTTAGTACGCTTGGACAATTGGAAGAAGTCGCTGGCACGGGCCAGGAAGTTCGGTTTGCAAGATACGTGATGGCCACGGTAGTCGAAAAGAAAATGACAAAAAGCTTTGGTGACACAGGCTCGGCTGGCGAAAGAGAGGAGGGGGGTGTGCGGGGCTGAGGTGACGGCCGGCAAGAGAGGGAGGGAAGAAAAACCAAAGTTATATGGGGGAGCGCGTTAGGTATTAAGAAGCCCCCGGGATGAACAAAGGAACAGCCTGAGGAGCAAGTCACAAAGGGTGGCAATGCAGGTTGGGACGGAGGGATGGCCAGGTGGAGGGGTGTGGCAGCGTGCACAATGCACTGCTTTGAGTAGTAAGTAGCACGAGGTGAATTTTCACCTATGCATACGAAAGGAAAAAGTTGGGGCAGGACGACAAGGACAGGACAATGGAGAGAAAGAGGAAGAGATGAAAAAAGAAACGCTCAGGGAACTGTACCTGTAAAAGAGGGGGGGGCGGGCAGCAGAAGCAGCAAGGATGCGGTAGCTTCGTGGTGTTCGTATGTGACGCAGCGCCTGGTTGGGAGGAGACTGAACAGCACCAGAGCTTGAGGCCAGTGCGGGCTGGTGGGCGGAAGCTGAGAAACCGGACGAGGGCCGAAGAAGAAGAAGCTAGGGAGCCGAACAGGTAAGTTCGCGTACAGCAGGGTATCTCATCTGGGTGCTTTTTAGGTAGATCCAGGTATCCATAAAGGGAACTCGAGAGGGTGAGTCGGCGTGCAGGACTCGGGGGGAAATGAAATGGGGATTTGCGTGTGGGAGGGAGGGAGGGAGGTAATAGGTGAGGTATGGTCAGGTAAAAGAGAGTTGAGTGATGGTGAGGCACAAAAGCTGGGCTGGCGGTTGGCCTGGGCTGGGCTGGGCTGTTAGAGGGGAAGGGCGGGTCGCTCTAGCAGTGGAGGGGGCGGGGTGCTTGATGTAGCGCGCTCGTGACAGGCGACAGAACACCAGGGGGGTCGTTCGGAGGGCAGACGCCTACCTACCTCACCTATGCTTGCTGCGTCTGGCGCCTGAGGGGGGGTGGAGAGACACTGTCCATAGCTCCTTGGGTTGGCTGGGGCCTGGCCAAGACGCAGAGTGCATGGCACAATGGGTGAGGGAGAATTGAAAGGAAGGGGAATAACAACAACATACAACCCCAGGCCAATGAGCCTCGCATCTCCAGCCCGCCAAGGAGCGACGGACCGGCGATTGACTTGCGAGAAGGGACGGGTGAGAATAACTTAAACAAGAGCCCTAGGCCTGGCATGCCTGGGCGAGACGGGCTGGGGAAAGAAAGTGTGAGAGATGGGTGCTTACCAGCTTGCCGTCAGCTTCTATTGGGCAGAACGTGCTTTGTAGGTGCTGCGACTGCAACGGAACCAGCAGGCAGGAAAATCCCCCAGGTATCGGACGCGCGAAGAGCCCACTCCAACTCGTGGTGCCGGGTGGCAGGCAGGGAGCGGCGCAGGTCGACAGGCAGGAACGATCAGATGGGTACTGCCTAGATTGCTGGATGGATGTAGCAGGCAGCCAGTCGCAGTCACGACAATCCAACAACAGCCTTGCGATGAAATATCTTCCGGCTGGTCGATGACCCAGGGAGATGGCACAAACGGCGGTAGACCAGCCAGGGGGGCACAGGCCAGGAGATGGTA